GCAAGCAACTCTAGGTTCGGGATTGGAAGTCTTATTTACCACATCCACTTAGATACGTGACAGTGGTCTATTCGTAATTAATACAACTCACCATCTAACTGACAAACTGCCAACACTGTTTTAACTCCTAAACCTTTCGTGTCAGGTGTGTCACTTCTTCTGCCGACTCCGAACCCAGGTCCCGTGCGCCCTCTAGCGGCATCAGCGAGATACACGCAGAATACGACCATGAGTAGTGATATGACAACAGAGTACTTCATTTTACTGGTGTATATTATTGTTTACTGTACGCTGTAATAAACAAAAACAAACAGTTATATTCACTAGTATGTCAAGGGACAACCTACGATAATCAACTCTATTAGGGCTTTTGTCTGCGTTCGACGTACTTCGACGTATACCCCGCACTGCACGAGTCTTTACTTAGGTATCGGTTTGTCTGTGATGTATTTATTAAGTTTCTTCTAAAAAAATACATCAACGAGACCTTTCCGGTTTCCAGACTACTAGTAAAGTGTACATTTGTAGAATATTGTAGCGACACAGTTACACAGGACATCGACCCAAATTTTATTCGTTTTGCGTTACTAATTAATGGACAATATTGTACAGTATCAAGAGAAAATAGGCTTGATTAACCCTAATGGTCGTTATGCTACCTCGGTTTCCACGTGATTACACTATATTGGCTAACATTCTCCTAATTTACCTATTTTAATTTTCATGAGTTGTTCTAATTCGTTGATAACATACTCAAATATTTGCATACATTATAGCATTGTAAATGTACGTTGGCATTTACTAAATTTCAATGAATGACAAGTTCTGAACATTACTGATAATAATTACCATGGTTACTGTAGTTATATTGAATAGTTGGCGGTTCTCGCAATACGACCCATATCATAGCGAATGATGATATCTTCATTTTCTATATGCCCTTTCCCCTTATCCTTATTACACTTTCAGATAAGAAGACTAATAGGAATCTCACGATCCGCCTGAATAAGTGGGAAAGTCCTAGTTCATATAGCCGGGCGCTCATTCCGGCGAAGAATGTGTGTGAGAGTAAGTTTCAGGGATTTTGTGTGTCCGAAACCCTCTCTTCTTAGTTCTATTGAACTAGAAATTATGAATGATTAATGAAAGAAATATATTTCCCAAGCAATAAATTGACGGTGAGTAAATTGAAGATAACACCTGACAAAACGTTTTCGGCATTTGAACAAATCGAAGCTATTTCTCGTAAACAAGTATAATACAGTTTCATCTTCACTTGTCGATTAACATTCGAATTGGTGAAATGTACTATAACCAAACGAAACGGTGTTCGATCATATACAACTTCGTGACATAATGAACACTGTTCACTGTGGTTCACGTATTTTTTTCAGACGTGAATTGTGTACTTTAATACGTATACATAAATCAACAAACAACCGTTTGCCTAACTACAATTGCACTTATATTCCATAAACACATACTAGCAAGATTATTGCGCCTATCTATAAACAAATGTGTTGCCGATGACGGCGCCAACTACTACTTGTAATTATGCAAACTCTCCATAAATTTCAACTTCGTATTTTTGTTCATTTCATCACAGATCAGTGAAACGGTACCTGACATTATTCAGAATAATAAATATCTAGTTTTCACACACGATGTATCGATTGCATAGGATGGCGTTATTGCAGCTGTCCGCACTCCATAACCCCAATTAGGGTAGTATAAATATGTGTATATCATATTCCTTCTACACGAAACGTCAACAATTGTAATTCGAGATATATTTAAATGTTTTGCTTCTGAATTCTGTCTTTTAGGCAGCTGTAACATTTCTGAATGACACAGACGTTTCCCAATGCAGTTGTGTATCCGTTTGACGGCAAATTGCATATATATTCATAACATTGTTTAATTAGTCTCAATATCAGTCTTCTCAATGTGAATAAGGTTACATTATACATACTAGTATGCCATGCAGTGGCGGCGGAACCGGGGGCGG